GGTGCGAGGGCGGAACATGGACACACGACAACCTCATTTTGGATTTGAATAAAGTATGGTAGTTGCAAAAACCTGTTTTAAAATCAGGATCATCTAGTAGAGCTAAATTCACAGCTGAGCACCAAATAGAATTCTTAGCCTGTCCAGGGTCCATGAGAAAACACTAAACTAGGGTCCTTGGATCCTCTAAAGATAGGGGTTGGCAAAAAGACAAGGGTCAGCAAACCAAAGTGTGGCACATTAAGACATTTTGCTTGGCACGCCAGCCCTTAGGGAGGGTGGCAGAGGAGTTGCGTAGGGCCCAATCCTTTTTGGTACTGTGCAGCCCTGGCCCTTTCCCTGCTGTCTGCCCTGAGGCATGCATGCACCCACCACCAGAGAGCTGGGCCAGGGCTCCATGGATCCTGGTGCAGCTGTTTGCAGCCTCCTGGGCTGCCTGCCACAGCCAGCCTCTGTGCCACCTACTACAGAGCCCAGGAGGCTCCAAGCAGCTGCCCTGGGGTGCGGAGCACCAGCCCAGCTCAGTTCATTGCCAGCAATGGGTGCATGTGCACCTCTGGGCAGATGGCTGGGGCTGCACTGCCACAAGAAGGATCAGACCCCTTGCTATTCCCCTGCCATCCACCCTGGTACATCAATGTCTTACAAGTTGACATTGGAATTATTTTGGCACTCTGCCCAAAAATGTTGCCAACCTGTGCTCTAATGAGATCTTGAGCTTCTCTCTAAACTCCAATACTACTGTAACATCAACAATTCTAGAGTTGCAGATATAGTCTGGGTCAGTGCTAGGAAAGCTCATACCACTAAGCACTTTACTAGCATGCCAGCTTTTTCAGTGATTACCAATTTGTAGATAACTGCATAGTTTCAGTTCATGCTTAGTGCTCAACTAGGAACATCTTAATAGGGCACAATAAAGAGGATGGCTCAGCATTTTGACATCCAACATCAGTAAGACAAAAAAAAACAAACCAACCTCTCAAAGCGGCAATGCTCCCCTTAACCCCCCACCCCCTGGCACAAAACAGCCACACTAGTCACTCCTGAATCACTTTGCCTGGAAGTTTCAAGTATGAGGAGCACTTACATACTTATTCATAGCTGATGAAAGAAAGCATTTCTCATTCAAGAAAGTATTTAGTTTAACAGCTTAACAAACCTCTACTCCAGCAGTACTGAACAATCCCAGGGAACTTGCAACTGTCACAATGTGTCCATGATTCATTTCCAGCATCTTGGGAAGGAATGCTTTAGTGGTCTACAAAGTTAAAGAGTGCGAGCATATTACTTTAAGATAAAGCATTAGTCATTCAAAACCTCTATTCCAGTTCAGTATCAGCCAAGATGCAAGATGATTACACAAGACTGAGCCTCAGAGTTTTTCCAAGATTAATGCCAACAAAAATGCCATAGCATGTTCATGAAACCAGACCACAGGGCAGAGCGGATTATATCCTTAGACATTATAAGTTAAAGGATCAATTTGACTCAGACGTTTATTTTTCTGCAAGACTAGTTATCTGAAAAAGATAGCTTAGCTTTAAATGAAGAGTCAGGTTTTATAGAAAGGAATGTTTAATTACATTATATAGCACGTCTGTGTTAAGACTAGTGCAAATTATCAGTTGGAATTTCTTGTAAGCCAGACATTTTCCGAGCTGAGGCGGTACTTGTAAAATAACAAGTAATTTGGATAAAATCACAAGGGCAGAAGCCTTGCATCCTATAAAAGTTACTTGCATTAAGATTCGCATACAAAGAGTATAAAATAAGTCATCCATCTTAATCTAAACTACTGGTCTCATGGTTATTGGCACCCACAAGCATTGCTATGATTAAGGACATGTCTGTTTCCATCATAGACCACCTACTTAATATATTTCCAGTACCAACAGTAAAAGCTTGTTCAAGAGGAAGCTCTCCATTTTAAGTGATTTAGGAAATCAATTAGAATTTAAAGGAAATTAAAGGAAAATTAATTGATTTAGAAAAATTACCACCTCCTGCAATTCAGTTGTTACAACAATCAGAGTCAGAGGCTCAGACTATCACCTTAAATTGTGCCTGACTGTCAATTACTAGTATGACCAGAAGCCAAAAATTCCCGCCAGAGTACCTACCTGCCCCAGAGGTGTAGGAAGCTCACTGAATGCCCAGGAGGGAAAAGGGAGGAAGCCAACCACTGCAGACCAGGGGTGGCCATGGGTGAGCAGAAGGGAAATCTTACCTGCCTGGGCTACTGCAGCAGTCACTTCTACCACCATGTAATCAGGCTCCTTGTGAGCTGATCCTAGTGCCTTGTTTGCTTGCCTCCCCCCAGCTACATACATACTGGGTGCACAGCTGTGCCTGCTTTGGCAAACACTCCTCAGGGAAGGAAGCACCATTCCATTTGCCCCACTCACAGGATACATTGTTTGGTGCAGCACTGTACCGCTTGGCTCCTATGTCCAGGCAGGGGCACATAGGGCAGACCCTGTTGTGTCAAAGGTGGAATGGGAGGGTGGGTGCTATAGATAGAGACTTTTATTTATTTTTTTTAGAGCCACAAGAAAACCTCATAAAAAAAGTCTGGTTGATAAAGCCTCATGGAAAAAAAAAAAAAAAAAAAAAAAAAAAAAAAAATCACACCCCAGATTCATCATTACAAAAGAAGCAGGGCTAGAAGAGACCTCTAGAGCAGGGGCAGGTGACATGTGGCCTGCGGGCCAGATGCAGCCTGCCAGCCCATTCTATCCGGCCTTCAGGGCCCCTAAAAATTAGAAAATTAATATTTATCTGCCCTTGGCTGCCTATCATGCAGCCCTCAATGGCTTGCCAAAACTCAGTATGTGGCCCTCCACTCAAAATAATTGCCCACTCCTGCTCTAGAGGTTATCTAGTCTAATCCCTGCCAGAGGCAAAATCATCCCTCGCCAAAGCTATTGTATAGGAGCCAAAATGCTACAGAAGACTACCCTTAACCTTGACAACACAGACCTAACACCCTAACCTGCCACATGTAAAGCAGGGGAACCATGGTAGCCAATGTCCTGCTTCTATAAAATGCTGTCAGTATATTGTCAATATATGCTCAAGAGATAGATACCAAATTCTTGATATCAGCTGTCAATGTAAGGGATATTTTAATTCATGCATTTCCAGTGAGACTTCAGAACTCTGTCCTCCCAAAAACTAACTCATAGCATAACTTGGATACAAACTCAGAACATGCAAGTGCCCCTTAAGTATTCGCTACTTAGTTAATTGATGGCTTGAATCATGTCAGCTGTATACTTGCAAACATACAAAACTACAGCTGAATTCATCTAATTCCATTCTTATGCTGTCTGCATTTTCCAATCACAGACGTCAGGACAGTTTTGCTCTAATGGTTTTCACATGTTCTTGTACTACATTTTTCCCTGCAGGTGTTAAAGTGACTAATCCAGACCTCCTAACACCACACAAAAGAGTGTTTTCACTGGACAGCTGGCATTTGATAGAAGATTAACAGATCCCCAACTCCTTGCCTCTTCTACTGCTAATTCATGAATCTTTTAGATCAGCTTACCTGCAAAATGAAGGTATTATTTATCATACATCTCAAGGTGAACTCCCTTATGTTCTTTCTCTCCTCATGCTGGGTATCGTTTCATTTTAGGCAAGCATTTTACTTTGCTTGTTAAGTGAATCTGTGCCAGGCAAGAAGTCTCAACTTCTCTTGCCATGCAGCATGGCAGCATCACTTGGCCAGGGTAGGATGGCATTATGTGCAGCAGGCTTCATTTTGAGGGTACAGCAGTTTGCAGTATGTTCCAGCCTGTGACATTAGACTATTCCTTCTAATAGCCTATTACAGATCACTGTGAAGTAGATGGGAAGTAGAGAGAGAGACAACAGGAAGGAAATGAGGGTAAGATTCCCATGATGTCAGTCTGAGAGCTGTGGTTTAGTGCAAGATGTTATGAGATAAGAGTAGACCTTTACGGAGGGAATTCTATCTTGAGCTGAAAGCTTTTCCATGGCTGTACCACTGCATAGATATAAAAGTAACCAAACCACTGGACAGCCTATGAAAATAGCCCTTTGGTCTCAGAAGTGTCATTCTTATCCCATACCATGTTGTTTCAAAAAAACTTAAGAAAGAGCAAGTTTCAAATCCATTTCTCATAGCACATCACCAGTAAGAAGGCAGTATTGCACATACAAAGCACTTCATGGTTAGGAATCAGGCCTGCAAAAGTATTCATAAGAACTGGCTCAAATAGAAAGATAGAACTAAAGAGATCCAAGGTCCATTGGCTTTGAGGAAGCTACTGGAATTAACCCGATGCGCTCAAACTAGAAGTTCCCAGGGCAAAAATAGAGCACTTTCATATAAAGGAAAACTTGCCATCCTTATTACGCTCATCACCATCCTTGGAGGTTTTTAAGCTCCGGCTAGATAAAACCTTGGCTGGGATGGTATAATTGTGGATGGTCCTGCTTTGAGGAGGGGGTCGGACTAGGTGACCTCCTAACTTTCAATGGTTCTATGATTTAACTATAATATTGATAACTACACCAATATGGAAATATGGTGGCTTTCCCCATTCAGATAGGCTTTTAGAGTAAAGAGCATTCCTTTCCTCTAGCCATTCCTCTCACATTAGGAGACTTGGAAAAAGGCAATGTAGAACTATTAAAAAAGAAACAAAGTTAATATTCTCTCATTTTCACATGATTTTGAGGGCTGATGATTTAACAAAATCCACACCAAATACTGAAAACCTGTCAGCACCGAATAAAAACAGGCCGATTTAGTGGATGGAATGAAATTAGGTCCTATATGATGTGTTAGGGTAGACTCACTGCAATAGATAATAGAATATTCTGGTTAAGACTGTCATCTAATTTTACTGTTCTGTATAAAAATGAACATGTTCAAATTAAGTTAGTCAGGGCTTCTTAGACCAGAGAAGAAATTTTCATTAACAACACTAGTACTAGATTAACTTTAAAAGGGAATGAATAAAGCAGTGCATGTATTTAGTGCTCAGCGAAGGATGAACAAGATAGCTCTTTTCCGTCTTTAAGTTTTTATAGTTTTCTTTAAAATCCACTGATCCCCCTTGGGGCAGTTTCCTCATAGCTTTTCAATGAACCATTAGGACCGTGCAAGCTACCCCCCAAAAGCTAAAATATAAAATATTTCCTGAGCACACAGCTTTAATGACTTATTAGAAATAAGTGAGAAACCGAACAAGCATTTACATGTCACTTCATAGCTTTTGTAATCTGTTCTCAACGTTTTGGTTTACGGCAAATTAACTTCTAACAGTCCAGAACTTCTTCCCTCCCCTTCCTCAAATTCTTTAGTTCCATTCTTAGTGCTCTTAATGAAACAAAACTCAAATGAATGTGCAACAAAGGGTAGTGCAGCTGCAGTGTCAAGACAAATTAGTCTAAAGTACAATAAATGAAAATATGAAGAAATACGGCATTTGGGAAAGTCCGATATTTTTAATTAAATTTTGGATTAATGATTTTCAAAGTAGCGAGTTAACAAGCACCTATCAACAAAAACAAAACAAAACAAAAAATCACCACACAATGCTAGCTGTATGCAAGTTTAGAATAATGGATGTTAAATGCAGAGGATCTCAACAAAGCTTCATCCTATGCGTGAAGTGGCTTTTATGGTTTTCAAAATGGTTTATTTCAAAAGAGAAGCAAATATGGCACATACCAACCAGCTTGTAAGGCCCCCTTAAGTTTATATTTGCCAATTCAATGGAATTTTCATAGCTTCTGACTCCATTCAGTGCTAAAGCCCCCTTGAAGCCATTTTGGCATTGTGAAAAGTGCTGGTTAAACTGTCTTTATAGCTATGCAGGAATTCCCCTATGCCAAGAAAATCTGAGTGACAACAGTTTCACATTCCTTTCTTCTAGCCATTCCTCTTCAATGAAGAGACTTGGAGGAAAGTAAAGTAATGTTGTCTTTATGATCTTTACTCCAAGAGTTTATCTATATTAGGAAAGCTCCCACATTTCTATATCAGTACAGTTATTTTTCTCATCTAACTATGATACTGGTAAGAATGGCAAGTTTCCCCTATACACAGGGAAGTCAGTATTTCCAGATGTCATTGTGGCCAATTATAATTCTAGTTCCTAGTTCCAGAAAGATTGTTCCATGGAAAATAAGAAATTAAGAACCAGGTCTGATTCAAGAGTACCAGCAAGTATTTTACTATTGTTAAAACTGCAGGATTGGAAGGAACTTCAAGCATTA